TTATTCTCATACTATCCTCTGTAACACCTTCAGCTCTAAAATTATCACAATGTCTAAGAAATCATTGAGGTGAGCATATGGATCTTCATTAGGAAGTCCATTAAAAACTTCAACCTCCCTAATCATGTTAAACATAATAGGTTTAAGCTCAAAGTTTGGGGCTATGACTGAGGAAATACAACTCCTCTTTCTGGTCTTTTCTGAGATGGAGCAGCCAAAGCTCTAAATGTAGGCCCAGGGGCGGTGGCGGTGTTCCTTCAGTGTCAGTCCCATTTTCATGCTTCTCATTGTGGTCAGCAATCTCGCTTTCTATTTCAACTTGCCTTAGGATTCTCCTTTGTTGGTGAAGAGTATGTTCAAGTTTTGGATCAAAGAAATCAGGGTTAAAGAGAGGTCTCTCAGAGTCAGAGGAATAATCAGATGAGTCGGGAGCTTCACTCATAAACCATGATACAGTGAAAATAGTGCAGTGGAATAAAGAATAAATGAATTAACAAATATAAAATTAGCAAAATAATTATAAAGTTAGTGAAATAAAAGAACACAATTTAAAATATGGGATTTAGCAAAAATTATCCCCGACAATGGCTCCAAAAACTTGTTGGGTCCTCTTGCAGTCTATTGAGGGAAACACTTTCGTTCTCAAGCTTATGACTTTTGGTCCTTTTTACAATCAGTCAGGGAAAATGCATTCGTTTCTTATAATGAAGATCATTTTGCGTAAGTGCACACATCAAGTAATAAAAGAGTGTGTTTAAGTCCTAGATTATTGTTTCCACGAAGAAAGTAGGGATAACTGATATTTTAAGTTGTGTTAAAGAATGAAAAGAATAAGTTAACAGTATTGAACTGTTCTGGTTGACATTCCCAAGTATCGCAAGGGTGTCCCCTTGTGACAAATGGTTCAGTTTAACTTCAAATAATTACTCGCATCGTTATATACTCAAGTCCTTCCTAATACAAGGAGGCACGGTAGATCATAGGAATCAATTATCATGGTGTGGTGTAAAGTGAAAAAAAGTGCAGAAAAGTAAAGTGAGCTTTAGCAAGGAACAACACTATGATTTTTTAAACGGAACGATTAATTAAAGAAAGGGAATGGATCCCCTAATCCACTGTTAAAATAACTGCAATCCCTTAGGGGTTTTCAACAATGATTCCAGCGCCTCTTATTTAGTGTTGGAGGAACCATCCATGTAAACAATCCACTCATCACTCCGTTGGGCATTGTCGTGGTGAGTCATTTCAACCACGAAGTCAGCTAGAACATGAGCCTTAATAGCTTGTCTTGGTTCATAAATGATACCATATTCAGAAAGTTCAATCGACCATGTTATCATTCTTCCCGCGAGATCAGGTTTTCGCAGGATTTGTCGTAGGGGTTGGTTGGTTCGAACCTTTAAATGATGCCCCTAAAAATAATGTCGCAACTTGCGGGATGTTATAATAAATGCAAAGCCTACCTTTTCAATCTACTAATATCGCAATTCAGGTCCTTACAGCGCGTTGCTTACAAAATAAACAGGTTGTTGTCCATTCGTTGATTCCTTTATTAGCACTGAGCTTATCGCCTCAGGGTTCACGCCGAGATAAAGGACGAGTGGTTTATCAAGTTCATGTCTCACCAATACAGTTGGATTGGCAAGATGCTTTTTTATTACAGCAAAGCCTATTTCACATTCTGGAGTCCATTCAAAGGCCGTTTATTTTCTCAAGACCCTAAACATAGGCAAATATTTTTAAGCTGATGCTGACAGAAACCTTATCAAGGTTGTAATTCTGCTTGTCAGTTGCTGCACTCCTCTGATATTCCTTGGGTTGTCCATATCAAATATTGCCTTGCATTTATTTAGATTGGCTTCAATTTCGTGATGGGTTAACATAAAGCCCAAAAAATTTCCAACTAGGACTCCAAATGTGCAATTGGTAGGATTAAGTCATATATTGTATTTTTTTAATTATTTAAACACTTCTTCAAGATCTTCAGCATGTCGCGGTGTCTCAACAGTTTTCACGATCATGTTGTCGATGTACACTTCTAGCATGCGACCAATTTGTTCACTAAAAACTTTATTCATCATACGCTGGTATGTCGCACCAGTATTTTTCAGGTCAAAATGTATCATATTGTAGTAATAAGTAGCTTTTGCTATTATAAATGTTGTGGCTTCTTCATCTGGTTTGTGCATAAGGATTTAATTATACACTGAATATGCATCCATAAAAGATAGAATTTGATATCATGAAGAATTGTCCACCAAATTGTCAATATTGGGGATTGGGTAAAAGTCCTTTAGACAATGTTTATTCAAGTCTGTGTAGTCAATACACTCCTCCATTTCCCGTTGGATTTTTTTACTGAGACCACATTTGACTACCATGTAGAGTACTTAATTTCTCTACTGACTCCAGCTTCTAGGAGTTTTCTTACTTCCTCGTCAACCATATTTTGCTTCTCAAGGGTAATCTTTCTTTTCTTTTGAGTCACTAGCTTAGCTTTTGCGTTTAGAGATAGATGGTGACAAATAAAATTTGGGTCAATGTCTGACATGCCAGCGACTGTCCAAGCAAAGAGTTCCTTATTTGCATAAAGGTTTATACTATCCTTTTTTTTTCATCTTTGGGCATATGTCGCCCAATCCTTGTAGTGTTCTCAGGTTGTGGACCAACATGAATTTCCTCTAATTCCCTATCAGGCTGAGGATGCATATCTTACAGCTCTTCTCGGACATCCAAATTAGTCATATTTATAGATGTTTTACCTTTTTCAGTTACTGTGAGATGATATCTTGGTGCTGGTTTAACATCACTTTTAAGGCTAACATTACAATAACTTATAGCCAACTTTTGATCACCTCTTACTTCCACTACCCTCCATTGGGGTCTTTTAGTTTAATAAGAAAATGTGGCATGAGATAATTGCCCCAAGACTAACTATGGTTGGTCTGCCATGATAACATTATAAGCAGATGGACAATTTATAACATAAAAGCGTACCTTGATGGTTCCTGCTTTGGGAAGGATCATGAATGTCACTTGTAATTCAATCATGCCTTTGCGCTGCACGCATTCATATGAGAATCCCAGCAAGTCAGTTTGGCTGGTGCTATTTGTTCCTCCGGGATGTTCATACCTTTGAAAGCTTCCCAGAATGTAATGTCAGCAGAACTTCTATTATCAATGAAGATTCTTTTCACTTGTAAATTTTCCATATAAGCAGAGATGATTAGAGGATCATCATATTTAGGGACTATGTTCCATAGTGACAGTCATTGTGGCTTTTAAATGCCTCTTCCTCTGGGAGTAAGTTTCTCCTCCACCTGCCCCACCTCCGGCAACAGTCCCCAAAACCCCAGTAGGGTTGTTGGGTAGTTGAGGTTTATTGTGCTCTCGTGCCGTGGGTTGTTCATTCCATTTTCTTTCACTTGGGGACCTCTCCCTAAGTCTATCGCCCGTAGTTGGTAGGTGTGTCATCTTGCTTATAATTGGTTTGTTTGTAATTTCTCATTTCTTGGTAATTTCTTCGAGGAGAGTTTCTATCATGGTATGGGCTTCTATCCCGTTTTCTCTGTGTTTTTTCTTGTTTGCAGTTGGCAACAAACTCTGAGTTTGTCTTATCTAATCAGAGCCAATGGTATATTCTTGAGGTCAAAACAATCTTCTGTAGCGTGACTTATATCTTCATGGAATTCACAAAACTTAGTTTCATCAAGCCTGCCTCTCTTCTTGGCCGGAGAAGGCTTGGGACATTAACAAAGCCAGTTTGGAATACTTCCTTCAAGATGCGAGATCGAGATATGTTGAAAGGTGTACAATTGTCGAATTTTTCCCATTTTTTCTCTCCTTGAACCCCCTTTCGAAATCTCGTTTGAATTCATTGGCCGCGAGCTTTTCACTCAGACCTTTGCGGGATCGTTTATAATCTTCAAGATTTATAAACTTCTTAGATCTCGTATGTAACTCTTCTATGGTCTTTGGAATTTGCTTGGTCAAAGATATGGAAAATGGTCCATCTAGTAGACCGTCAATAATAAGGTGTAAAGAAACTTATGGGTCAAGATCTCTTACCAATAAAACTTCTTCAAAAAATCTGTTGAGGAAATCTCGCAAGGTTTCTTTGGCACCTTACTTCACAGTTTTCAACGCATGTGTAGATTTGTATTGAGCTTTGCTAGTTGCAAATCTTACAAATAATTGGTTGGTGAGATCTTCCCAATTACTGATCGAGTTTGGTGGCAGAGTTGAATACCACCTTAGAGAAACTTCTTTTAACGTAGTTGGGAAGAGACAACAACCTATGGCATCAGGAACGTTATAGGTTATCATATTCGTTTGGAACTGCTCCAGATGTTCCTGTGGTCTCCTTTTCCATTGTATTTTTTCGTAGTGATTTTTATATCCCTCAAAATAAACAGGTCCACAATTTCTGTGGTAAAAGGATGAGCCACTTTTGAAACTATTTTTGGATTCTCTTGGGAGTTTTGGTCTGCATGGTGGTTAGCCTCGTGGCTAACATGAGGCTGATGATCCTCCATCTTTAATTTTCCTTTTTTTGATGGACCGACATCTTTCTTAGAGTGTTCTGGTTCATGATCATTTTCATCAGATTTTTCATTCACGCCAGACTGTTTTTCATACTCTGCCAGTGATTTTTTCAATTTTTCTAACTCTTTTAGTTGTTCATCAATTTTTTGAGTTTGTTGTTGGAAGAGCTCCCAGATTTGTTGATTCGTTGGTGGATCATCTCGCTGAGGAGAAATTGGAGCTACAGAGAAGGCAGTTCTCTGGCGAGATGTCTGTCCTCCATTCTTTTTGCCCATGGAAGCATTCTGAGATTTTGACATCTTCCTCCTGATATCAACCATGTTTTTTATTTGTATAGAGTTGGAGTCAAAATTTATCATTCCCCATAGATAGGGCCAATGATCCATCCAAATCAAATTGGGCTGAGCCTAATTATATACAATTGAAGTGTAGGATGTTTATGAAGAGAAGGAGAGATGGAAAAGGAGCTTGGCGAGATGTTGTATAGCTTTGGCAAGATGGTTTATCAGCACTTTGCGTATCTGGGTAGTTTAAGAGAGACTGAGGGGTACTTGCAAAGGCACTCTGACGCTCAAATCAGTTCAGTATTCAAGGAGGTTCAAGTATTAAAAGAGAGATATCATACTTTTAGCCTCTGTATTTATAATGCTTGAGCGCCTTTGTTTCCCACCGTATTTCATAAGACAGTGTTCATATTTATTGGTGGAGAAGGATGGCCTTTCTCTGGCTATTCCTCGGTGGGCAAGCCTATGTTCAATAGTTGATTTAGTAGATATCGTGGCAAGTAGAAGTTGTCATTCATTCAATGGTTCCTTTCAGGTTAAGTCACGTTTGGTTTGCTGGCCAAGTTGGCAAAATCTCATACTTTCTACACGAGATGAGTTTGCTTTGGTGGCCAAGTCAGGGGGTTCTGGGATCTTGTGCCTTTATGGGATTTGGCCTTTATATCTGCACCTATTTATTTGTAAATGATTCTCATTCTTATTTCCTCATGCTAGTTTGCGAAAAATGATGTAATTCCATATAATAAGAGAACCAACGAGAACAAGAATTAAAATTTAGAATGTGAAATTTATTTTTATTCTACAATAATTGGTAAATAAAAAAAAAACTAATGTGTAAAACGCCCAAAGCTAGGCCAACATTGATGTTGCCATTTTCGCTTAGATGTATGCATTCTGTAGTGATTCAATGGGAAAATTTTTGGATGGCAAGTCCGACGGATGAATGAAGCACTTTTTAACCTTAAAAACATGTGTAATTTTTTTTTAATATATGATTTGTCATTGGAACTCCGCTATGTGTACTTATAGATTTGGCTTGTCCCAAGCCATAATAAAGGAGAAGATAGCAAGCTGGCCCTAAAAAATAACTATTTTTATGAGACGAATCTCTATGTGATTTAGAGGTGTTCATCAACCGATCCAAACCGATTCAAACCGCGAAAACCGAACTGAAAAACCGATAATCGAATAAACCGAAAACCGAAAAATTAAAAACCGAAAAAAAAAACGCAAATTTTAATTGGATTGGATCGGTTTTCAGATGGGTTGATGAAAACCGATCCAATCCAAACCGATCCAATATATTAATTATCCTCTACCTACTTGTCATTCCCAATCATAGCTCAAAAATTTCTAAACTCAAGACCCATTAACTCATCAATTAAACCCAAGAAAAAACTTAGTCACATCTCATCAACTATAATATTGTTTACTGATATTTTTGTATTTTAAATTTTTTTTTTTACAAAGCCAATATATACGAAAGATGTTATTTGCACAATAATCATGAAACTAATTTTAAGATATTCAAAAAACCAAAAACTGATCCAATTCAAATCGAAAAAAATTAGATTGGATCAGATCGGATTTGAAAAAAAATCTAAACCGAATGGATGATTACATGATCAAACCGAAGGGATTGGATCGGATGAGTTTTGCTTCCAAAACTGATTCAATCCAGACCGCAAACACCCCTAATATGATTTGTCATTGGCAAAAGTTTGGGATTAACTTTTCATTATCGGTGAGCTTTATCAAAATTTTAGTTATTTACATTATTTGCCAGATCATATATATTATTAAGGCAGTCTTAAACTTTTCAAAATATTAAGAGCTCGTTTCCTGCTTCCATCCTTATCACCTGTTCTGTTAGACTACTCCGTTGAAACCCTTAACCGATTTTAAAAAAAAAAACAACGAAATTCAGAATTTCCCCAATTTGACACAAAAGTATCAGTAATCAAACACATTTGTATAGACTATAGAGAACATAACTATATAAAAGGAGTAGCATCTAATCCACAATCATTTCATCTACAGAAGGGGCAAAAAAAATTAAAATAGTACTATTTTAATAAATAATTACGAATACATAGCTGTTTTGAAATTATTTACGAATTTATTACACTCATTCACGTTCAAATTAGGAGTGACTATTCACGCTTAAATTATGCGTGGCTCCCAAGGCATTCACGCCTAATTTAGGCGTGAATCATCTGGTATTGACACGTGGCAAAAAAAGTCAACTTACGAATCGTAAAACTTTGAAAAACCATAACTTTTGACTCGAATATCTGAATGAGGTAATTTTTTTTTTTGATTCCACATAACTTTTCGAGATCTACGCAATGACATCTCATTTGATATATTTTATCTCCCACAAACATTATATAGTGTATTACCAAAAAAATTTAAAAATTATTATTAATAAGAAAAACAAAATAAAGATTTAATTTGTGATTTAAACTCAAAAATTAATTTGAAAAATCTGTATTAATAAAGAAAATAATTAAATAAATATTCTAAACACTTGGTAGAATATTACATAAATTTGAACATATTTTAATAATTAATTATGAATAAGTTGCCGTTTTGAACCTAATTACGAATATATTGCACTCATTCACGCCCAATAATAGTACTATAACATTAAATTCAAAATTCAAATAACCTCCAATAAGTTGATTGCATTTTGTATTTAATAGGAATTGATTGTGTTTTATATTTAATAGGAGTTGATTGCGTTATAATTTTATGAGTTGGTTACAGATTGTCGCCAATTCAAATAAATTTGCTGGAGGTTATTTGAAATTTGAATTTTGAATTTAATGTTATAGGAGTTGATTATGTTTTGTATTTAATAGGAGCTGATTGCGTTTTGTATTTAATAGGAAATTTGGTGCCATCTTATTTATAGATGAGTTAATCTACTTTGGTGCCATCTTTATAATATCACTGTTACAAAATTGAATTGTGTTTGTGAGAGATAAAATATATCAAATGAGGTGTTATTACGTAGATCTCGAAAAGTTATGTGGAATCAAAAAAAGAATTACCACATTCGGATACCCGAGTCAAAAGTTATAGCCTTATAAAATTTTACGGTTAAACTATTAATTTTTTGTGCCACGTGTCATCACCAGACGAGTCACGTCTAATTTAGGCGTGAATACCTTGAGAGTCACGTCTAATTTGGGCGTGAATAGTCACGCCTAATTTAGACGTGAATAGTCACGTCTAATTTGGACGTGAATGAGTACAATAAATTCGTAGATAGTTTCGAAACAACTATATATTCGTAATTATTTATTAAAATAATAATATTTTAATTTTTTTGGCAACGATAGGCCCTGTTACGGTACAAAAGCTATAAATTCCACCAAATTGGTTCTCTGAACAACTATAAGATTTTGAAAGGTAATTTTGGTGTTGGATTCCGCTTCTGTAGTCCGAGCCCTGAATAACAAACATAAGTTAATCAAATGCAACTAATTAATTAACTCCAAGAAATGCTGCATTAACTCCAAGAGGAAGCAATTTTAGTGATCGGGGCTTGATTTTAGGTAATGCCTGGCAGTTGATGCTCTCACATTTAATGTGTCGTAATTTTATTTTCTCGTGGGCCTTTTGGTCCCAACTTTTACCCAAAAATAAAAATAAAAATGGCCGAATGCTATTTCATAGAAACAATTCAATGAAAATGAAGGAAATATGTTACAGGCCTCAGATAATTTGGACACGTCATAATCTGAAATCAGATAATCAGTCAATGTCAGCAATATATCAAGACATCACTGGCCTCACCCACTATAAATTTTATAATGGTCATTTAACATATCCCCTTTAAATATAATAATTGAGTAATGATATGCGATTCACTGATCGATTCATTTACGGTCGCTATAAGGTTTAGTGTACTTTTCAACTTAAAATTTTAAAAGAGGAAGCTTTTCTATCCTCAATGTGGAAATTCTTTCTCGAAATACAGAATCCAATGATATTTGTTTAAAAAAATTAAAGTACAACGCGATTTAATACTTTTTACTTCGGAAATATTATTTTCGTTTAACACATAAAAAAAATGGGTGAAATTAATTAAAAAAAAGATAAAGAAAATAAGTGAATCTTATTCGTTTTTTTACATGTTACATGAAATAAATTATCTTATATAATATGAAAAATAATATTTCCTTTTATCTTTTAAGATTTCTGTTATTTATTAAATTGAGTTACAAAATTTTATTAAAAAAAGAAAACAATCCTTATCTCTTTATTATCCTAGCTTTATTACATATCAAACAATACTTGTATTATTATAAGTTTATTTTATTTTATCTATGAATATCATAAAATATTTAGTCATGCGCATTAGCTATTATTTATTAACAGCATGAAAAAGTGTCTTCTAGCTCAATTATTTCTAGTATATGTTCTGTTTGTATTGTCTCCAAACATGCATCAAATGCAATAATAATAATAATAATAATAATTTGAAAGAAAAGAAAGCACATAATAAAAATGGAAGAAATCAAGCTTACCAAAAAAAAAAAAAAGATAGGAAGAAATCACTTAGTTGAGCCGGGGGACGATACGCAAAGTAATCTCCCAAAAAGGAGAGAATCAAAGAACCATACATGGGGGCCTGTTGAGCTTGAACTTTATGTGGTTATCACTGTAATCTCTTTGAGAATAATAGAAAAGAAAGAAAGAAAGAATGCAGACACCAGAGAGCTACAGATGAAGAAGTCCTCAATCACACAAGTTCTAATCTAAAGCAAGTAAAAATGAATCTATATTCGTAGTGGACAAGCAAGGAAATAAGTCAAAGAGAAAGCAATTTTACTATTTTAGTGCCTCATTCCATCTAAAATATCTCGTGAGCCAGTTACCAAATACGGAAATACCTATGTGTGGATGGACCCTCTAGTCTTGCTGGTGTTAGGGCCTTAGTTAATGCTCTCACATTTACTGTGTCCTAATTTTATTTTCTCCTGGGCCTCTTGGTCCCAATTTATACCCAAAAAAACAAAAGGCCGAATGCTATTTCATAGAAACAATTCAATCAAAATGAAGGAAATATGTTATGAATGAGGCCTCAGATAATTTGGACACGTCATTATCTAAAATCAGATAATCAGCCAATGTCGGCAATATATCAAGACATCACTGGCCTCACCCACAACAAATTCTATAATGGTCAACATATCCACTTTTATACGACTTTAAGTTAAAATCTATTTTTAAATTAAAATTAAAAAAATAAAAGCTGATTTGATTGATGATTGTATAAAATTATTTTCAAGATTTGATGATTGAACAAAAATACAACAATCCTTATCCCTTTCTTACCCTAGCTTTATTACATATCAAACAATACATGTATTATTATAAATTTTATTTTACTTTATCTATGAATATATTAAAGTAGTTATTATTTATTAACAGCGTGAGAAATTATCTTCTAACTCAATTATTTCTATTATATATTCTGTTGTATTGTCTCCAAACATGCATCAAATACAATAATAATACTAATAATAATAATTTGAAAGAAAAGAAAGCACATAATAAAAATGGAAGAAATCACTTAGTTGAGCCGGGGGTCGATACGTAAAGTAATTTCCCAAAAGAGACTTGAATTTTAGGTGGTCATCAGAGTAATCTCTTTCAGAATAATGAAAGAAAGAAATAAAACAAAAAATGCAGAACCAGAGAGCTATAGATGAAGAAGCCCTCAACAACGGCTCTGTAATAACAGCGCACAAGTTCTAATTTAAAGCAGGTAATTTTAAGGTCTCTGAGGAAAAATGAATCTATACCCGTGGTGGACAAGCAAGGAAATGATTCAAAGAAGCCGCCTTGTACTTTTTTTTTTTTTTTTTTGGTATCCTAAGCCGCCTTGCACTTTTCAAACAAAAGGAGTCTCACGAGATTTTTCGAACTATTAGGACGAGTGCTACGCACGCAAAAATTAGAAAAAAAATTATTGGAAAGATAATATTTATAATTTTTTCGTTTATAAATTTTTACAACAAAATTTTAATCATTAATTTTTATTAATTTGATAACTATAAATTATTGAGAATTAATAATTAATTAATAAATATGATTTAATAAATTATAATCGTCACATTGATAAAAAATCAACAATTGAAATTTAGTTGTAAAAATTTGTAAATAAAATAAATTATAAATATAATCTTGGGTAGCGAATTTCTCAAAATTTGACATGTGGAATTTTTTGTTCTGACGTGGCATATTTCGCTACACTGTGTAGCGAATTACTTGCATACATAATTCGCTACACTGTGTAGCGAATTATGCCGCGTGACATGTTGACAAAATTTACTGTTGATGTGGCAGTCTGATAATTTTTTTGTTCAAACGTAACAAAATGGTTACTCTCCCTCTCTCTGACGGCTTTGTTTAATAGCGACCAACACGTGCTAACAATTTGAAGTTATTGTCGTCATTGAATGTTACTTAGATTTCTCGTTTGGAGTTTTCTAATCCTTGTAGTAGTTCCCGAATAAACTACGTCTCCTCGGATTTGAGATAAAATTAATTTAACTTTCTATCAAAGATTTTTTTAAAGATAAAGGATTTATCCGGTAAATAAAAATAAGTTATATTCGGTGAGTCTAAAAAACATTATTTTGGAGTGAAAATTAAGATGATTTTGTAAATATATTTGTTGCGATATATAGTCCCACATTGATTGGATGGGCAACTAATATAGCCTTTATAAGGCCTTGGGCACTCCCACCCCTTGAGCTAGTTTTGGGGTGGTGTATCCCAAGGTTCTTTACATGGTATCAGAGCCTCACCGTCCCCCGCTTTAAAAAGTGGAATTAAAATAAATAAATAAAAAAGCACAAAAGGTAAACCAAAAATTGGGCCTATGCAATTCGACGCTTCTAGCCCAAAGGGCTCTTGCGTGAGGGGGCGTGTTGAGATATATAGTCCCACATTGATTGGATGGGTAACTAATATAGCCTTTATAAGGCCTTGGACACTCTCACCCCTTGAGCTAGCTTTTGGAGTGGTGTATCCCAAGGTTCTTTACAATATTGTAGGATTATATTAATTTTTATCATTATAATTTTTTAATCTTGTGTTGTAAAATAACATGCAGAAACCAAAAAGATTGGGAAGAAAGAAAAGAGTGACACGCAAGATTTACTTGTTCAGAAACTTGTTTTACCAAGTTTCCTACATCAAGGGTCAATTAGGGATTAAAATCCCTGGTACTTGCACTATAACAGAATAAGAGTTTGAAACAATATACACAACCAATCAAGAAACAATGTTTGCAAAGAGCCCAAATAAAACCCCAAATAACAGAGTACAGATCAGAAACCCTAATCAACATGTATCAAAGATACTTCAGAAAACTCAATAGAGAAGAGCAACCACAAACATGCAAACTCAGTTGTGGTACCAGAACCTCCTCCAAGATCCAAGCTTTCAGTTCACTTCTTGATGTCTTCAAGAAGCCACCACCGAGATCCTCTTGTTCGTGAATCAACACCAAGTTCCAATACTGAACCTGCACTCACAAAAGGGAACCAGAACCAAGAAGAAAGCTCGAAGGAAAGGGGGTTAGCAGATCAGATTTCTGGTTTCAGGAGAAACCCTAACAGAGCTCAACACAAAAGGATTTCTTGCAAGTGAATATCGAGAGAGAGATAGCAAACAACAGAATGAATGAGAAAGTGCAAAAGGCTGATATCATATAGTAGTCAAAACACATAGCTTCACTCATGCAATTAAAAAGAGAAGTATACCCCTACTTATAATATGCTTAACATGTTCAACAATAAGGCTACTTATGGAAATATACCTATATGAATATAACATCTTGTAACACAAAACGACATTATTTTGAGTTTCCTGCACATCATTTTATCTCTGGGAGAAATACTTTCCCTTTTTTTATTTTAATGATGACAATGATGAGAAAATAAGTGTATTCTTTAAAATGCGTCAATTTCTAAAATGAGTGTATTTTAAATTTATTGGCATGCAGAACTGCTATGTAAATTCTATAACCAAGAAGGTGGCCTCCATCACTGCTCAAAAGCGTACAAATTCGACATTGGAGAGTGGATTTTCGTTCAAAAACGGCGTAGTAACAGGTAGTGGACAGGTTTATCTCGGAAGAGCATGGGGAGAATATTCCAGAGTTGTTTACTCTTACACCTACTTGGACACAATAGTTCACCCCAAAGGATGGAGTGATTGGGGTGACAAAAAACGTGACTTGTTAGTATAATGCAACATGGTTTGAATCTTTGTCTTTTACCCAAATTAAGCAACGAAGGGCTGATTCTGTGTTTGTTTGTTTGTGTGTGTGTGTTGCAGGAGGGTATATTATGGAGAATACAAGTGTAGTGGGCCAGGGGCTAACTTGACTGGAAGAGTGCCCTGGGCAAGAATGCTAACGGATGAAGATGCCAAGCCTTTTATTGGGATTCACTTCATTGAAGGGGACACTTGGCTCATTAGTCCCTTCGCCTATCCAATTTAATCCTGCTTTTACCCATCAAGGTGCGCTTCCCTAATACCAATCAAAGGAGATCGAGACTTGAAAATTAAGCTATAAATGATATTCGTATTTACAACCCGATATCCCACTTCCATCATAATTGCTCTGACTTGTATGGTCTATCAAGAAAACAATAAAATAAATTTCAAACTGAATATGTGGTCGAGATAAGACCTAGAAAATTTGGTTATATGGAAGTTGCTGGTCATTGGTGAGAGAGTGGGGGTTTTCTTTGAAGATGCTGACTTCTGAGTATTATTGTTACTTAAAAAGATTTTTTCCGAGAATCTGTCAAAAGTTTTTGATTTGTAAAACTTCCCAAAATTTACTTAAATTCTATTGGAGGTTTTGGTATCCTCAACGTTTTCTCCTGCTTCAACTACTTCTACAAATGGCTTCATCATTCTACTTCACATTTTGAACTTCTATGGCTTACCTTTTTTTTTTCCATGCATATATCTTACACTAATCTAATAAGGAAAATGCCTGACTGAATTTTTTTATTTATGAAATCAGTTACGTATGCCTTGTGTTCGTCGGATAAAGAAAATCACCTACATATTTTAACTGCTTGTATTTATTCTTTTACCTGCCATTATACATGAATTTTGAACTATGGACATATTTGCAGTATAACTGTTGGTGCATGTAACAATGTCCATTGCCTTATCTAATAACCAAACCACGAAACATAAGATGATTTGATATTTTTAAGTGTTTTCTGAATATCTTTGTACCTTGGTAAAGTGGCCGTGAAGGATGGTAAGGAATTTGAGAATGAAGTGAAATGGGGGATTGACTTGGCATCTGAGCAAAGGTATTTTTCCAGTTTGTATTTTCAAGTTCTTGTTGACTTGGGGAAAATGATATCTAGTGTGCATGGTGTTTATGCAGATGCCTTTCTGCATCTAGTGGACAAGGTTTGTGTTCCTCTTCTATACCTACATTTTTTTTTATGAACTTTTTACAAATTTTCTAGTTCAAGTTTTCCCAATTTAGTCTCGACCTGCATTTAATGCTTTCCCCTTTTTACCCTGGACATTGGTTGCTTTCTTGATATATATATATATATATATATCCCCATGGGATAAGGCTTTTCAAGTCTTAGAAGAGACCTTATGGTCGATGACAAATAGATATCTGTACAAGCTTCTTTTATCCACGTTTTCGTGATTACTTGTTATTTCAGCAAGACCATGATCTTCTTGGTTTCACAGTGCTTTAGGTGGTAGATTTCACGTGTGTTTGTTTGGGTGAATGTTTGTAAATTTTACTTTGAATTATTTTAATTTTAGGAAATTTAAATTTACCACCTCTTATTAACTCTATTATTACCACCAAGAAATTATACTTTTATTCTTTGAGCTTCTTCAAGATTTTGACGTTAAACAAAATAAAAAGTAGAAATTCTAAGTTTGGACTTGTTTTTAATTTGACCTTAAACAAAACAAGATTTAAATTATACTATTTTATTACCACCAGTTGCCCCTGTTCTTTGTCTTGTTTCAATTAAAAAATAGTTTGGACTTGTCCAAATTCACAAGTTGTCCATATGATCAAATCTCATTAACCTAACAAAAAGACGTGATGCGAAAATTGGGGTTGACCCAAAAATTACCAGCCTAGACCTGTGAGCCAGACCCAAATTTACAACTGTAGGCCTGTAGTCAGAATTCACAAACCTTTTCTTTAAAGGAGATTTAAACAGCCGCTGAGTGTCAAACAAACCGCCACGAAAACCCAATTTTCCCGTATACACTACATACAGGTATAGGTGGCAAAGTGGGTGCCCCGTCCCGCCTCGCTCCACCCCGCCATCAACCCGCCAAAAGATGAGTCAGTCTGTTCCGCCCCGCTTTTGAAAGTGGGCTGAAAAACTCAGCCTGCCCCGCCCTGTTTGGCGGGTTGGACGGATTGGCCCGTTAGCCCGAGCCTATTTTACACTGATCCGTCACGGCCCACCTATGCCTGCCATCAACCCGTCAAGAAATGAGTCCACCCCGCCCCACTTTTGAGATGAGTTGAAAAATTCAGCCCGCCCCACCCCATTTGGCGGGTTGACTCGCCGAGCCGAGCCCGTTTTGCCGGCTGTACATACAGGCATGCATGTCTCTCCACCACCAACATATTACATATTATTAACATGCACTTTGCTAACCGTCTAGATCTTCATAATTTCCATTCACAGTCCCCTATAATAGACGACAGTAGTCTTACATTACACGTGTTGCTTAACTGGAAAAAAGGAATAAAGGACGATAATATTTAATATTGTTATGATGGGAATGAGGACCAACTCGAGTACAATAAACACCACGCATTCGCAAAACTAGACTAGCTTGATACCTATAAAATTACAATACAAAAGCATCAAACTTTAATATAAATGCCATCATGTCTAATTATTTTTAAGGCCAAATGCAATACTCAGCTAATTTCCAGGGTTTGGTCTCCTCGATGTGATCATTCAAGAAACTCAAAAAGCAATCAAGTCCTTTATCTCTTCCTCTTTCCACATCTGACTCTGTAGCAAACATTCATGATGACATCTTATTAAGGCTTCTTATTAAGACTTGATTCCACTATCATGAACACCCACATGAGACCTTTCACAATCCTTACCATACCAATTGTGATAGTCAGATAATATAACCACCATCAACAAAGTCACCAATTCCCACATCCATTAATTGCTCTTTCTTTGTTTCAGCCACAACCACTAGAGTCTCCACCTCCTCCCTCAACCTCCACCACCATAAGGTGCCTAAGCTCGCAGCCATGGCCACCCTCTCAACCCATCTTTCTTTTCAAACAACACCGAACACCGTGTCATCCACCACGAACCTCACCACCATTCTAGACCAAACTTTGGTTGTCTCGTGCAGTCCTAACAGAAAAAACACCCTGCTTAAGAGGCTTCTCTCAACACCATAACTCGGGTCAGAGTCATAAACTCCAGCTGCAATGCTTCCCTCAATCCCCAAACCAACGAAAACTTGGAACATGCAAAGGAGAATATATCCACGCTGTGTGGAGACGAGGTTGTAGAACAGAGCTACAAGATGACTCGCTGAAAAGGGTGAATTTACCCGTTAAACCATGGATTAGGGTAGCCACTTGTTGCCTTGCTAACAGTTGTGCAAGTAATGCGCGCAAGTATACGCGACAACAAGTAATATAGGGCTGTTATAAGTCCCAGTTATCGTTTCCACAAGGATCGTTGACGTTTTGAAATGACTAAAATTTATAATTGCTTAAAACTGAGTTACTATTTGAAAATAAAAGAAATAAAATTATAAAGTAAAAATAATTTAGAATGGACCTAAAACACTACTGTTCACTTTTCTTTTAAAATTTTCTGAAGTACTTTCCTAAGTTATAAAATAAGGAGTAAGAATGAAGCAATTTTAATGACAGATGTGACAAAGATTTTGGAAACAGAACAAAGATTGAAATATGAAATAACAAAGGAAATTAGAAATCTGAGTTGATAAAGAAGTTCAAAAAGGTGGGTTGAGTTCTGGCTCTCCTTCCCCACAGTGCTTGAAAAATAATTTGATTAACAAAAAAACTCATCATAAGATTCTCAGTTAACAGAACTGTATTGTTAATTTTAATCTCTTAAAAATTATTTTATCCCAAAGTTGCCCACTTCCATATCTCTATGCCAAGTTGGATTAGGACTCTTGAGACTCAGGTCCAACATTACATGAGGTCTCATTCATTTCTGAAATGAGATCCCTTAGATGATTTCTCATCTAAGTCCATGTGTCTAATGCAGAATCCAGAGTTAGTTGTTTCTCAACAACTAAATACTAACCAAACCTCTGACATTCGGCCAAAATGCAGATAATTTTAAACATTAGAAAAAGCATTAAACAACTGAGATATAAAAATGAAAACCAGAAAACCAAACGTTTAACAAGCACTGAGGTTTGGGTATCACCTAAACCCAACCTCTAAAAAGTTAGCCACTATCTATATGGATGAAGCTTACAAACAGTAACAGAGAACTACAGAAATCACAAAATAAAAATTCTAAAAACTAAATTACAGCACTGGCCTAACAACCGGCAATCTCAGTGCGGTAAAGACATGCATCAAGTTCATCAAATGAACCAGAATCTCATTACAAAACAGAACTTAAAAGAAAATAAAATAAAAATTGTTCAGAAAACAAAAACTAAAAAACAGTAAATCAGAACCAGAAGAGAGACACATGACTCACTCCTCAGTCCCTTTTTATAGGGCTCATTTCCTTCTTTGCACGATTTTCTTCTCCAGCTCAGCAGGGGTTACGCAATTCTCGCGCGTTGCAGGCAGGTGGTCCCCAGCAGCTCCCTCCTCAGACAATCCGAATGGAATTTTTTGCTCATTTAACCCGTACGTAGACTTGCGCCCATAAATCGCTCCAGTCTCCACTCTCAAAAAGTATCCAGCTCATCCACTCAGCAAGAGGTTGTTGTTTTGACGTTTTCTGTATAAGGAATGGGTGACTAGGGTTTGGTTAATCTCTCAATGAACCGTGGTTGAGGGTTAATCTTGACAAATAAACCGAATACAGAGAACGGTTTGGCTTTGCAAATCGATTTGTGGCAAGGAACTTTGGATGGGTGGTGTGGATTTGTGGTCGAATGATGGTCGGTCTTTGTCGCACAATGTGTGCTAGGGTTTTCTCTCAGCCCTTTTCTTCTCGTTTCTGACTCTGTCTCTTTCTTTCTATCCCTATCTCTTTCTTTCTTTAATTTTCCTTCATCTGGGCTTTTTGATTGACAACAGGTCCAGCCCATATCTTTTCTTCTTGCTTTTCCTGATGAATGTTAACAAAATGGGCCTGTAAAATAACAAGTTTAAGCCCATTAGCACTTAAGCCCATTAAATTTCAGCTCAACATGAATTTTTGGGGTATTTTAATCACAAAAGTCATTCATTTCTCACCAATTACACTCTAAACCATATGTTCTAAGTCTCATTAAAGAGAC